TAATGTTGATGATAATACAAATGATAATAATGATGAATGATGATAATAATAATTAATAATACAAATGATAATAATGTGATGTTAAAATAATGTTACATGTGATGATATGATAATGTGTGTAATAATGTGTCTGATGATAATGATGTTAATGATGATAATAATACAAATAATAATAATGAAATAATGATGATGATACGTAATATTAATAATGTTGATAATGATAATACAGATAATGTCTAAATGATAATGATAATACAGATAATAATGATAATAATACAAATGATGATGTGTGATGATAATACAAATAATGATGATGATGATACGGATGATGATGATGATGATACGGAAATAATGTTAATGATAATACAAATAATGTTAATGATAATACAAATGATAATTAATGTAATACAAATGATGTGTAATACGAATAATGACAAATAAAATAATGTGTATGAATAATAATACAAATAATAATAATACATGAATAATGCAATGATGATGAATGATACAGAAATAATAATGTGAATGATGATACAAATAATAATGATGATTAATACAGATAATGATATTGATGATAATGATGATAATGTGTATGATGCATGATGTGTAATACATGATACAGATGTATGATGATAATAATACAGGTGATAATGTGTGTGTAATACAAATGATGTTAATAATAATGATACAAATAATAATGATAATAATAAAAGATGATGATACATAATGTGTAATGATGTTACATATGATGTAAATAATGTCTAATAATAATACAAATAATAATGATAATACATGTGATGTTAAATACAAATAATGTGATAATGTTGTACAAATATTGTAATTGTATGTCTGATGATAAGATAATAATGATAATACAAATAATGATGATACAAATTGATGTGTGATACAAATAATGATGATAATACAAATAATGTGTAATATGATACAAATGATTGATGATGTAATGGTCTAATAATGTGTACATGATGATGATGTAATACAGTAATGTGTGTTAATACAGATGATTATAATGATACAGATGATAATGTATGATTATGTGTACAAATGATGATAATGTATGATACAAATAATAATAATGATGATAAAATAATAATAATGTGTATACAGAATGATGATGTCTGATGATAATACAGATTAATATTATGCAAATGATGTGTGTATTAATAATAATAGTATGATAATGATGATGATGATAATGTAATAATACAAATGATGATGTATGTGTATGATATACAGATACATGTGATGTCTGATAATGATACAAATGATGATGATTAATGTATGTACAAATAATGTGTGTATGATATAATAATGATGATGTATAATACAATGATATGATGATGAATACAAATGATGATGTTAAAGATGATTGCAGACTGTTGTGGTAATGCGAATCATTTCAATGATAAAAACAACAATGAATTAATGCCATATGATACTTTCCAATGGCCATGTCAAGTGGTTGTATCAGGTTTGTGCCAAGTGACAGGACCAGGAACTGCAGGAGTGCGAGCAGTTTAAGCCTCCCTGATTTCAAGTGGTTACTTGAGCCCACTGCACAGCTCTTTAAGCCTCCCCTAACCCAGCTAATACTGAGAATTATGGAGAATCCCAGTCAATAGATGAATCTTGGGGAGGCTTTTTGTTGACAGATGAGACCAAGTGCTGCTCTGTGTTTAGACACTACTGTATCATAGCCACTTCATCATGGACAGGTCTGTGCCTGGACCGCTGTTAGGGAGCAATATCATCATCCTCGGTTGTGGGGGACAGTAACATGTGGGCATAGGGACACAATAATATGTGGTCAAGGAAATACTCTACCATGTGGTTGTCATGGTGACACACTACCACATGATTGTCATGGTGACACACTACCATCTTGTTGTCATGGAGACATACTACCATCTGGTTGTCATGGAGACACATCATTTGGTTGTCATGGGGACAGTCTACCATGTAGTTGTCTTGTGGTAGTCATGGTAATATACTACCAAATGGTGTCATGGTGAAGGTCATGGGGACTCACTACCATCTGGTTGTCATGGAGATACACTACTGTTTGGTTACCATGGGGACATGCTACCATCCGGTGTTGTTTGTGCTGAGACCAAGTCCTGAATGCAACAGTATTTCATCACGAGCTTGGACATTGGCTTAGAAGGGTTATAAGGTGTAATCATTGTTACACATTTGTGTATTGATGTACAAAACATCTCAATATTCACAATAAACAACACATGGATATTGGCCCAATAATCATCCTACACACTACCTGTTTCATGCATCTGCCCATATCAGATAACACGTACCTACATCAAAGACAACCCAGAAATCTATGTCAAGTATCTCCGCCACAACTGGCTTCATCAAGAACCGGTTCCACGCCTCTGGGTAGACAGTCCCTTGACATGGCGGAACAACCAGTCACATGACATTAACTCCTAGCTTGGATTCAGGTAAACACCTGAACGAACCTATCAGTTAGGTCCACCTGGGTCAAGTCTAGACCTACATTGTTCCTGAATGTGATATTAGTACTACAACCACCTTACCCAGTACTGTAACATTAACCTGGGACAGTGTGAGGTCTGAGATTATGACCCTATACTGAAACACTGACTTACAGTAGTCCAAGCTCTGAGATCATAGTGCCATACTTTAGCATTTGACATATGACAATAAGCCCCAAAACAGTTGAAAATTTAATATTTTAGGTTTACACTTTAACATTAATGTCTAAGATCATAACCCCATACTATAATATTGACTTAAGATAGTACCGGTACTCAAAGATTGTAACCCTGTACTTAAGCAATGACTTACAATAGTGGGAATCCTCACAGATCCTTACTGTAACATCTACTATCACTGGTCGGAATTCTAAGATGGAAACCTCATGCTTTATCATTGACTTACTGAAGTGGGAAATCTGGGATCATTTTGTAAAACAAACCTTGTATATTCTTCAGTTCAGTCGACTTACATCAGAAGACATATGTCTGTGTAAAATCTTCAACTGTGTGATTATGGAGGCAACTCTGCTGATTGATCTGAGGCCAATCGTCAGATTCCTTTCTTTGTGTTCTTGGCCTTTCCATAGAAACTAGTCATGATTAGTCCCAAGTACAATGCATATGACTTCTATTGAGTTGATGTTCCCATGATATTCTGAATGATAACTTTTGTGTTAGACTTATTGATTTATGTAAAAATAGCTCTTTTTGAATTTCCCACAAAATAATGAGGAGAAAGTTTTAAGTACAAATTATCATATTTCAGTAGAAAATGCAGAAAGTCCATTAGAGATGCAAATGTTGGTTCCCATTATCAACAACTGAATACCAATCGTAATGGTACTGGATTGATTTACAGTTCTTACAGAGGCTGATTCCCATGAAACCACTGCTTTTAACCTCTGGATGACCTGCAGAGTATTGATTGGCCCCACCCAGGAGGATTTAATTGATTCCACCCTCCACCCAGTTCATCCCACAATTTTACATTCAACATCCCTCCTCTCTTCCAGGACACCCCCCAGCAGCCTACCCCCAGCCCTTTCCTCAGTCTCCAGCTGATTCATCCCACAGTTTTACATTCAACATCCCTCCTCTCTTCCAGGACACCCCCCAGCAGCCTACCCCAGCCCTTTCCTCAGTCTCCAGCTGATTCATCCCACAGTTTTACATTCAACATCCCTCCTCTCTTCCAGGACACCCCCCAACAGCCTACCCCCAGCCCTTCCCCATCTTCCAGCTAATTCATCCCACAGTTTTACCCTCAGTATCGCTCCCCTTTTCCAGGACACCCTATCCCCCTACCCCCTCCCTAACTCCACCCAGTTCATTCCAAGAATCCTTCATAGAACAGCTTGCTGTTTATTATCCCACACACACACACCTGACTTGAGAGAGATGACCCTCCCCCCCTCTTCCCCTTTCCTTCCTAAACCAGTTTTATTCCAATTCCTGAAAACTTTACACAGACAAGAATGAACAATCTTGTTTAATATCCCCTACCCTTGCGGTTCCCCTCCTCCACTACCCCTCCCTCACCCCCCATCTTCCACCCGGTGTTCCATTTCACATTGAAAACCCACGTTTCGTATCCCCTCCCTTACCCCTCCCTTACCCCTCCTGACCCCTGGCCCCAGCATCGCCTAACCACCAACACATGTGCTAAGCTCCTACTTCAGAAATATTCATATCATTCTTTGTCCTTCCACACAATATCAGATCATACCGCTTACCCTATGTTTAGCATACCATCAATTATTTACCCTTTCCCCACCCGAGCCCTCCCGTTTCCACAACACACCCCTACTACAAGGAACTATTTACATTACAATCACCCTCTGACAGCACCCCGCCACCAGTCTATCATTACACACCCTGCTTTCAACTAAACATAATGAAAGTCATTGTCATGGGTCTAATGTTAAACATGATAGATTTAGAGGGTCATTCTATTCAGAAACCATGCCCCTGAGGACCATACTTCATTATTTTCTAAAACAGTTTTAAAGAAGAAAACATTTAAGCTTCTTATTCATCCAGTACTTCATTTGATAGGCGCAGGATTACATGGCTGTAAATAAAACAATATTTTGAAATTGATCTATGTCCTGTTAGGTTACATGGTCTATGGTTGACTTCGTGCTGCTGCTTTTAAGATTTACTGTTAATGTTGACAGGCATCGGGAAATATTGGCTCTGTAAATCAGTCTGCCTCATACTGCAACAACGTGCTTCCACTTCCATGTCAAAATCAATGACGTTTCAGCATTGTACTTCTATCAACATGCCTCCCACCCGCATGGTTCTCTGCCTCGTGACCTAGGTATTGATCATAACCCCTCCCTTGTGTCTCAGTCATTGAGGCCCGGTATTGATTACCTCCCCTCCCCCACCCCAAGACGTTATTGATTCCCCACCGATCTGGATGCACGACCAGGTCTTCAGTCACAGCAACAGCAGACTCCACTGACCACCACCACACAACTTTGTCAGCCTCCCTCGCCAATCATCATCCCTCCTCCCACCACACCCACCCCGACCATGTGGTCATCTCAGTGACTACGGATGAGGTCATGCTGGGCTGTAATGACCACAACCAAGAGGTGGTACGGCCATGTGATATACATGATACAACACACCACTGTCTTCCTGGGTCTCGGCTACAGATGGGAATAACACCCCGTTAGCAGGATCTGCAATTAACCCTACTGCTTAAGCCTGCTCACACAGCCAAGAGGATTCCCCCGGACAATCCTAGAGTGAGAGTAGAGAGGTATTTCCACAGGCAGTGTAGAAGGTGATAAGGTATAACATTGCTGAATCATCAACTGAGTGTGTGGAAGTACTACCGGGATTGTCCTGCCCATGTGTTCAGTCAGTGAGGAGGCAATACATTGTGTGTCTTCAGGTGATACAGTGTGTGTCTTCAAGTGGTACAGTGTGTATCTTCAGATGATACAGTGTGTGTCCTAACACAATACAGTGTGTCTTTAGGCGATACTGTGTGTGTTGCCAGGTGATACAAGGCAGTGTCTTCAGGTGATACGAGTTAGTGTCTCTGGGTGATACGACTGCCAGGCATGGAATAACGTACAGGTCTGCCTAGCAGCCACAGTGCCAGGTACCTATGGAGGACGGGATTTTACTATTGACGTTACTACTAACGCTGTGCTTGTTACTCACTACAGGTAAGACAACACAGATGGGACTAAGTACACCTTTTGTCTTAATACACCTGTCTAATACACCTATCAATTCTATATCATAACCATCCAGTAGTATGCTTCAGTGCGTTTTGATACTCCAATAAGTCCTGTCATGTAGGAGCTATCTATGTACAGCTGCCTAATGGTAATCTCTCGCATATTCCAATGATTTAACATTTATATATCTTTGTTATTCCTCCTCATTATTGATATTCTTATGTTATCCCATCCCAGTAGGTAGGTTTATCAACAAAGATGGTGTTGTCAGATATCGAGGCTGTAGTACATCACGACGATGGCCCACACAATTATGTGTGTTATCCGGCATGAGTTCTCACAGGATGGGTATTGATCCAGAAGCAAATGTTTCCTGTTGTATGTATCACCATCAAATAATCATAAGAAAACAACTCGCGCCTGACATCGCCATATGTCTTTGGGTAAAGCTTTTATGTATTGTAAGACATTGATAACGACCGTTCATTGATTCTACGTGGGTACATGTTGTGATACGGTGTGTCAGAATGGAGATATTTACTCAGCAGATGATGTCTCAACCATCGAGGGGGAGACTGATGGGGATGGAGACAGTGATATATGACCATGTTTAACACATGACTGGGCTTCACAAATATTGACTCTATCATTAACTGAGCGTGGTGTCTGCATATCGGATCTTGACTCAAATCAGGGATTTCTTATTCTGGCAGATACAGTGAATAATGGATAACATTAATAATCTCTTTCCTTGGTTGTAGAGTAACATGGTGAAAAATTAAGCGATGTTGTAAGTGCTGTTCCACCAGCGGTATGAAAAACTAGGATCTCACATTTGGTATTCTTCAGCCAATAAAACACCTCAGAAATCACACACAAAAATATTTCCCAGTTGTAGTAATTTGTACTGTTGATCATGTTAGGGCAATTCTTTTGATGGGTTGTAAGAAATATTTTCAGATTTAGACTTTGTTATATTTTGGTCTGATGGAAAAGTTATTTCAACAAATAACGAAGAAAATTTATATATGTATATCATAAATTAATCATCACTTTCAGTTTAAATGATGTCATATTTAGAAATTAGTCATATATTGCTCATTTGCACACAGCTCCGTCTCTATTGGTCCATATCTGAGTGTTTCCTGTCAGAGATTGACCAATATTCATATGGGAGATTGGCTGGAATTGTGTTTTAACAGAATATTTTGGGGGTCACTGCTTTCAAGCGTGACCAATTATGTATTTATTTTCAAAACAACAAATATATTTATGTTTCTAAATACCTGAGGTAGAATATTTTCAAGTATTTTTTTAGAACAAACTATGTTTTTCAAAACAGTCCCACTTCCCCAGAATACAAATGACTGGTCCCATATTAAGCTGGTTACAAAACGACATTCCCTAGAAGCCTGTCTAGCTTGTTCTAGTGAATCTGTTGGTAACAGGTTCATGAGTCCAACGTTGCATCATGCTCCCACCGACTCCCAGTGTCCACCCAACCATGTCAAAGCGGGAATTACCCCTACATAATATACTGAAATATTTAGGACAAGGGACTCGAGCTCAATTCAGGATTAATAAATGCTCCCATTGACGAGAAGGCTAAATGAGTGTCATAAGGATTCGGTACGCATAGAAAATTACTTAGGAATGCAGTTGAGAAACTTTTGAGAACATAACAACCTTGAGGGGTTCGTGTGCACTGATAAAAGAAAACAAATACCTGATGAGGCGACACACTTTCCTTGTTTAACAGATGCTTCTGCTGAAGAGCAATTTTTTATCAATCTTTTTTCTAACATCCATAAAACATAATGCTTTGTTTTTCACTTCTAACAGCCTATTAAAAATAGATTTTTGTGTATCAAACATTAAAATGCTGTTTAAGTCATAAAGTTGTTTGGTTTTCTTTCGTTTAAAGATTCCATACATAGATGAAATATTGTTTAACTCATTCAATGTTTAAAACATACATTTCAGGAAGTTGTTTTGGGTTGATTTTTTCAAACTGACCTTGAATCAAACCTCACATTTCCATATACTCTACTTCCTGAAACAGGAGCGGTGGGGTAGTCTAGTGGTTAAGGCGTTCGTTCGTCACGCCGAAGATCCGGTTTGATTCACAATTAGTCGTCTCACAGTCCCTGAAGATCCCTACTGCCAAGCCCTTTGATTCCCCACAAAGGGCACAATGTGTGAGGCCCATTTCTGGTGTCCCGCCGCCGTGATATTGCTGGAATATTGCTAAAGCAGGCTAAAACAAAACTCACTCACTCACTCACTCTTCTTGAAACAGGAAAACAGTGTGGCATGACTATAAAAACGTTTCTATAGACTGTAAGCTCCTTTTCAGTTGCCAAAGCTGATATGTCTTCAGCAAGTTAAAGATGAAAGCCTGTTGAGACTGGCAGAGGGGTGATAATTAGCATCCAGGACATCGTTATCAGGGATGCAGCGATAACGCCAAGATGATGATGTTTACAAGCAATACCCATTTGAACACTGGCATGTTTACAACAGCAACAAACTGTCAGAGCTAGAACATTTGTACTTTCAATAGCTGGGTGATGACAGTCATTGTTCTGTCGATACATTGTTTTACCATTCCATAGGGAGGGAGGAACAGACAGGTGCTTGTGCCTACTCTGAATGACAGTTTGTGTGCTTGTGCTTACTCTGACCCATGAATAACAGTTTAGGTTATTGTGCCTACTTTGACCTGTGAGTGACATTCTTAGTTAGTGTGCCTACTTTGATCAGTGAGTGACAGTGCCTATTCTGACCTGAGTGACAGACTAGGTTATTGTGCCTACTTTGACCTGTGAGTGACATTCTTAGTTAGTGTGCCTACTTTGATCAGTGAGTGACAGTGCCTATTCTGACCTGAGTGACAGACTAGGTTATTGTGCCTACTCTGATCTGTGAGTGACTGTCTTAGTTATTGTGCCTACCCTGTGAGTGGCAGTGCCTATTATGACCTGTGAGTGGCAGTGCCTACTCTGACCTGTGAGTGACATTCAGTGCCTACTCTGACCTGTGAAGTCTTAGTGACAGTGCCTACTCTGACCTGCCTGACAGTCCCTCTGACCTGTGACCTGTGAGTGACAGTCTTAGTTACTGTGCCTATTCTGACCTGTGACAGTGATGGTGCCTACTCTGACCTGTGAGTGACAGTCCCTACTCTGACCTGTGCCTACTCTGACCTGTGAGTGGCAGTGACAGTGCCTACTCTGACCTGTGAGTGACAGTGCCTACTCTGACCTGTATGTGACAGTGCCTACTCTGACCTGTGAGTGACAGTCTAGGTTACTGTGCCTACTCTGACCTGTGAGTGACAGTGCCTACTCTGACCTGTGAGTGACAGTGCCTACTCTGACCTGTGAGTGACAGTCTAGGTTACTGTGCCTACTCTGACCTGTGAGTGACAGTCTAGGTTACTGTGCCTACTCTGACCTGTGAGTGACAGTCTAGGTTACTGTGCCTACTCTGACCTGTGAGTGACAGTCTCCTGGTTACAGTGCCTACTCTGACCTGTGAGTGACAGTCTAGGTTACTGTGCCTACTCTGACCTGTGAGTGACAGTGCCTACTCTGACCTATGAGTGACAGTGCCTACTCTGACCTGTGAGTGACAGTCTAGGTTACTGTGCCTACTCTGACCTGTGAGTTACAGTGCTCTGAGACCTGTTTACAGTGCCTACTCTGACCTGTGAGTGACAGTCTAGGTTACTGTGCCTACTCTGACCTGTGAGTGACAGTCTAGGTTACTGTGCCTACTCTGACCTGTGAGTGACAGTCTAGGTTACTGTGCCTATTCTGACCTGTGACAGTCTAGACAGTGCCTAGTCTGACCTGTTACAGTGCCTACTCTGACCTGTGAGTGACAGTCTAGGTTACAGTGCCTACTCTGACATGTGAGTGACAGTGCCTACTCTGACCTATGAGTGACAGTGCCTACTCTGACCTGTGAGTGACAGTCTAGGTTACTGTGCCTACTCTGACCTGTGAGTGACAGTCTAGGTTACTGTGCCTACTCTGACCTGTGAGTGGCAGTCTAGGTTACAGTGCCTACTCTGACCTGTGAGTTACAGTCTAGGTTACAGTGCCTACTCTGACCTATACATGAGAGTCTGATGGTTGTGCCAGTGCGTGAGTGACAGTTTGGGTGGTTGTACCTTGGACGTCGAATCAAATGTTTCACGTTTATTCTGCAGGTTTTAAGGCATTTTAAGGGAATTTGTATTGTTACCCATACCCACAGTCCAAACCATCTGGTTGTATTCTCTCTACACGAACATTGTCTGTCACTCTCAAGGGGATGTAGAAACGTCACATGTGCTTGACATTGGAATATTTCATTCTTGCAGGTGATTACTAATAAACAAGGTGTTCTAGGTTTGTTGTTTTGTAAATCTGGAAAGAATATCATTTCAAGTTATCCATTTTGCACTATTTCTGGCCCAAGGAACCACTTGATTTCATTTTTGCTCACTTGCTTTCCAAACACGTTCTGATACTTCTCTTTAACACAAGTGGATTTCCCCTGTCTATCTGTGTGTTTACACACAGTATCGGATAGCTCTGTTCCCTGGCTAATCCATATCAATTTAATTTCTCGATGTTTATAAAGTGCTTCACACACCAAATAATGGCTTCTGTGTTTAAATAATATCATGTAATGGTTTCTCCAACTCATCTGTCTGGCATTGAAGCACTGGCTCTGTTGTCTTAAATATCATGATCTGCCGTTCAATGGAACTGAATCAGGTTCCAGTGATATGCATTTATAATTAGCAACTGAGTTCAAATTTATCATCATGTCAGTGTTATTTCAGCTACATCCCAACACATTTATCATAGAGGGAATTCACAAAAGATACTAGTTTATTTCTGTGAGGCAGCTGAGGTGAAAATTCATAAGGAAGACAGTTTTTTTTTGGATGTCAACTTCTTTATTATGAGGAACACAACGTTTCGGACCAT